GCTCTACTTCAGAAAAAAGTTTCATTGAAATATATTCACTATTGCAAAAGTTATGTCTGTTTGAAAATTGAACCAGTTTTAGGGGGTTTTTCTCATTTTACGGGGTCAAGGAACAACTTTTCCAATATTTTTAGAATTGCTACATATTCTTCACCAAAATATGCGTTAATTGCCGTTTGAAACATTAAAATCCTCCAATCCGTTCAGAAGTTATGATAATTTGAACATTCGCATAAAATTTCCGGGCAACCCTTTGCCGTTAGGAATTTTTTTCTCGAAAGTGGTTCGGATTTCGGGGATTCGTCTGTTGACCAAAAATAACTATAATCGACCCCCGCAGCTAAGAATAATTTTTTCAGAATGATTTGAAATTTTTTTTCTTCGCCGAAAAATTTCGACATCTAAAATTGGGCCACTTTCAGTCCATAAGGTGTAAGGTCTACTCGTATACCTCGTCTGTGACAACTTCTCTAAAAATTTGCTCTATCAGATAACGAGTCCCACCATAACTTTCGCGGATCCTGCATTCTCGACGTCGTAAACTCGAACAACGTGCGCGATAGCGTAAAAAGTTGCGCTTTAACGTCGTTGGTGAACGAATTTCCGCTACGTGGGAAAGATTTCTTTCAAGAACGGTTCTTCGTCCCCGTGGATACGCTATGGCGGTCGTTAAAATCTAGGCTCGAAGAAACTGGACGCATTTTCCTCGCAAAAACGTGCATCAGGCTGAAATCCTCGGCGAATTCGAGTCGGTTGCACCTGTTCCGTGGCGTGTCAGATGAGAATCTTCTCTCAGAAGGCATAACAATAATTGCAGGCCGTGTATCGTTTCCGCGACGATTCGAGGAGGCCTCGTTGGCCCGGGCGATACGCCAGCTGATTAATGGCGAGCCTGCACACTTCCCTTGATACTTGTGCATCACCCGTTAACCGAGATCTCCCGAGATATAGCGCGAAAAACGCGCCAGCAACGAAAAATTTTTAGACAAAACGATGGTGTTTGGTTTCCCATCGATGTTTCGCCGTTTGAAAAAGGGCAATATTGTTCCCTGAAGTTTTCCCGATATTTCGGTCTACGTAGTATCGAGTTTGTTGGCTCCGATTTCGAGCAAAACTGTAAATAAATTTGATTGGGAATATTTTTGGAGAAATTCCGTCGTTTCGAACGATTCGAGGGAGAGTTTGTTTTGTCGAATTTCTGGTTCGACCAACGTCTGTTTCGAAAGATTCGCAAAACCAAGGATTAATTTCCTGAAAGAAGAGGAAGAGGTTGGCGTGGCCTGCACGCCAACCTCAATTTTCCGAAGTCCGATAAGGCTTTAAAGAGGTTTTCGTTCGAGATCGCGATCTCTCGTCGCGTGAACCTCGCCTGCAAACGCTCTTCCGGACTATCGTCGAAGAAAATTACCGTGGAAAGTGGGCGTAAACGTTTGGACAGTGTATTTTAGTCGAGCGTTCAGATGTCTGACGAGCATGTCCTTCGATTCTGCTCGCGATAACAACTGGACGTTCGTTTCCGTCAGTTGCAAATGTACATGGAAGCTACAAATACGAAATTAATTTCGTTTTAAATTATTAAAAATAAAATTTCCGAGTGTCTAAATTCATTTCGTTTCGTTATTTAAATATTCTGATTTATTGCAGTAGATGTTCTGTATTGGTGTTATTTGCCACGGAGTCGTAGAAAATCGGGAAATTCCAAAGTCCGCGTAAAGCTGGCGCTAGACAATTCGATGCACGTACTCGATATGGAGATCGATTCGGTGCCTATTCGATTCCCCTTACGTTTTTCCATCCGCTATATCGCCGGAGCAGCTTATCGACATTATGGTGATTTCCCAAGCGAGTCGTCGCTGGATAGGATTCGTCTCGCGAAAACTCGTTGAAAAGTACCGGAGGACCCTCTCCCAACCGAGTGAAAATATTCGTATTCGAGGCAACGGGTTTTATAAACATATTTTTGTTATTTTATGTGTTCTCGTTCTTCCCTGCGTTCCTCGCTGGAACGCGTGTTTTTGTTAGTTGATAGCAGAGGCGGAACAATGGAATCAAATAATCAACAACAAATGGATGGGGGAATATTTTTCTTGGTGTTTCGAAATTCCCCATTCGTTTCGACGAGTGCTTTGATTTTCTTGCGATGAAAGTTCCGCAACTGTTGTTATTAATTAATATTCAGGTTGTGAATATTCATTTGCAACGTTCAAATAGCTTCGATGGTTCTGTGACGTGTGAAGCAGTCGATGGTCTTTTCGATTTGTGCTACTACGTTTAGAGGCTCGATTCTCTCGAAAATTCTCGTTTAATTAGAAAATCTAATCCCCTTCCTCTCCCTCCGTGGCAAGAAAAATCCCCCAGTTTCCACCCTGAAAATTGGATCTCTAGTTTCTCAAAGTCGCTCACGGTTGGTGACTCCCAAAGTCAAAAGCGAACACACAATATGCTTGGAAAATCGGGCAAAGTGAGTTATCGCAAAGGTTTCCACGAGAACCCACCCCCCTGGCTTCTGTGTCCTCCAATTAGGCCGTCCCTCCCGAGATTAATTAACGAAACGCAGAGAAATCGTAGCTCGATTATTCCAAGGCAATTCTCGACGGAGCAATTCAATTTCCGCCATCGATTCGATTATGGTCCCCTAACGAAACGAGTTACGATGTTCCTTGAGGGGAACACCGTGCATTACGTCAGGGCCACCCCCCTTGGCAACTTTGCGTTCTCCTCTTTCGTTCTTCGAGGATGCCGTATTTGATTTGGCTTTAATATGATTTCTCTCAGCCCCCGATACGTAACCACCCCTGACAGCAACGGGGTGCCAAAGGGGCGCGAGACTCTCTTTACTTTCGCGAAACTCTGATTAATTTCTTTGAGAAAGAAATCGAGTAGATTTTGGACTCGACTTGTGGAACTCGTTTAGGATTTTACGGTGTGAGTGTTACGCATCCTCCGTTGATCAGAATCGAAATCTGAGAATCGAAGCGTAGGAATTTCGAAGCTTAAAGCCGTCCCAGTGGCTTCGACCATCCAATTTCTCCAGAGCACCGTCTCCGCGAAGCAAAATGAACAGATCTCACACACGCACACAGACACGCGCGCATCACACGCACCGAATTTAAATCCCGAACCGACACTTCCTCCTACCTCCCACTGTACTAACCCCAGTTCTCATATTTTTTAATTTCTTTTTCTCGAACACGCACCTATCGGTACAAGCAAGAGTCTTTAATGATATGACGATGACCATGATGACATGACACGATATGATATGATATGATAATGAGATGATTAATGTGACCATGACCATGATTTCTTACCATGATTTTATATTTACTTATTTGTTGCACGTTGTTTGGTGCGTCTCCGTAAGCAGTATGACGCGCTCGCAGACCCACTGGCAAAACCGACATTTCGGCTGGAATATTCTAATCGTGCTTCTAATCGTGATTTTATTTATCGTCAACGTTCCGTGGCCCTTCGACGCGACTTCCTTCGCTCCGATCGAACCGCGGTACCAAAATGGCCTTCCGTCTGTTAAAAATTTGTGTACAATTACGATCGTATTAATTCGTTTTCTGTTTCAAGAGAAAGTCACCAACGATCGGTCTCCGCTTGCTAGCAAGATTATTAACGATCCTATCGCACAGATTTTAATGTCTCGATGGGGTAGAAAAATGGACATTTCCCTTTGGAACTATTTTAACGCGAAACTAGTCGAGAATTTTTAAATTATATATTTCTGAAGTTCGTAATGCACAGGTTTTAGAATCTGGGACAATGAGTTATTGCTCCCCCAAGGAAGATACAACTAATTTCTATAGGAAAAAGTTGGATCCTCCTGTGGGATATTATCTTCTGATGATATCGCTTTTTCTTTCGATGCGACGGTGCAATATCCATTGTTTACTTAACTGGAACGACGCGCTTCCACATAAAAGTAGTAAGGTACTTTGGAAGATATTTCATATTCTATGGTAGAAAATTACTCCGTTCCAGCAGGTACACCGTAAAGTATTGCATTTTAAACGAACATACCTGAATGCATATAAAAAAATTCGCAGATGTTATTTAAGCAAAAAGAGAAGACTCGTTCTCCCAGTTTTTAAAATCATCCTGTACACTCGCAAAAATATAATCTAAAAATGCTACTGGAAACTGGTGTAAAGCTTTTCCTCGACTTTGTCTATTCAAATATTTTCGGTAGACACAAAGAGCTTCCCTTCGCTGGAAAACACGCTGTGCAGCAATTTTTGCTTATCGTTTTTTAAAATCGTATTCAAACAGAGAACTACGGTTTTTTCTAGGTTCCTAAAATTACTTTTACACTCCGTCGATCCGTATAAAAGTGTTCAAAGTTTCGGTTCGCGGAACGCCACAGACTTTACCCCCTGAATCAAGGGAACGAGTATCGATCTATTTCGATACGTTCTATCGAATAATCTCGGTGGAATCGCCTCGAGGAAAGAAGCACCCGCGGGACTTTCGTCGTCGTCGGTCGCGTCTCGAGAGAATCTCGAGAATTAATTAGCGCGGCCTTCTCGCAGACGGCCATTGTGCGCCCGAGAAATAAACGAAAGAATAGGTTCCAAGGGTGAATGGAGCAAGGGTGGAGCGACGGGGGCGAGAAGGAGGCGGGAAGGGTGGAAACGCGAAAACAAAGAAACGCGGACTCGTGAGAATTCGGCGCGCCCGCGGTCCGTTCGTTCGCGAAATCTTGAATGAAAAGACGTGGATATCGATTCGAATTCGATCCCCGGATACTCGGGAAGGTTTCCCGCGCGAAACGCGCGCCAAGCGCCCCAGCAAAATGGCGGTCGTTTCGACGAGGGAACGCCCCGAACGTCGGTGTTTACGGTGTTTCGTTTCCCCTTTGTTTCTGGTTATTCGAAGGAAAAAGTTTACGCAAGGAGCCCGAAATGTCGGTTAGGTCTGCTGGCCGTTTGCAGAGCGCTGGCAGTCTGTAAGTTGAGTTTAATGCATGTTGTTTTGTCTGTCCTTGCATGCAGGGATTCGGTTTTGTAACATTCGCAAATAGTGCTGACGCGGACCGGGCACGTGAGAGGCTACACGGCACCGTGGTTGAGGGCAGAAAGATTGAGGTGTGCATGAACATTCTTATACTTATATATATATACATACATATATATATGTATACATATCGCCATTAATTCATTTGATACACGATGTACTTCTTTGCAGGGGCATGCGAGAGGCGAGCGCGATACAATTTCGCGTTCGCCTCTCGCACGGTCAGCAGGCGACCATCACTCCTATCGCTTCCTCGGTATCTGTCATTAATATAACTAAGATTTCATTCAATAACATTTTCGGAGCGTTGGTCGCCTATTTCAGACTGATCTCTTAGCTACTAAGCCACGCGATCGATCGTGCTCGTGATCGTTTTATCTTTATTTTTATTCGTTTTGTTCGTCAAGTTGCATTCGAAGATGGCTTTTCTGTCCTATTCGTTCACGAGCACGGATCTCGCGTTTAATTTTAAGCGACAAAACGGTTCTGACACCGAGACTCGAGCCTCACGGACGAATCGTGCGCTAGGTTTCGAGATCTCGAATTCTGACGGAGCCCGGGTCCCTCGAGAGGAAAAGATTTGTTTGGAATTTTAAAGATCGATCGAATCGTAGAGCTTTGCTAATTTTTTAGCGTTTCGATTCTTCTGCGGGACGAACAGCTCCGCCAGAATTGATCGCGAGGCAGATCAATGGCGCGATTCGAAAACGAGCTCATTGAAAAGTAATTGAATATTGAACGTTCGGATATATATTGAAAATATCGAAGAGACGACGTGTCTGGCGATCACTTATCTATTGACGTTTCCTGTCAATATCCTGGGGATATCCAATTGATTACGATAATACGATGTCAGTTTGCGTCTAAATTTTCTGAATAAGCGCCTTAGTTTTTGATGGAAGGGAAAATTTAAAGTCTGAACTAGCCCGACTCAATTTACGCATTTAAAACAGCGTGTTACAGTGAATATGTGTTAGACTATGATACCCTAAGTGTTCTGTTAACGTATCAAAGAATTTTCGAGTTAAAAATAAATTATATTCGTAAAGAGAGTCAGCATTTGGCTGACTTGATAATGTATTATATTTTCGCTAGATCGCCAGGCAAATTCGCGCCATTGGCAATCTGCGTCGCGACGCCTCGAGGAAAGCGCGAGGCAGATCCGAGACGCGTGCCGCGCCACCGACGCGGACGTGCGCTAATTGATCGAGATACGCGTCGCGCCTTACGAATGCCTGGGAACATCGAATCAGACCCGCTTGTCGAAGCGAACGTGAACGTGTCCGCGTGGGTGGCACGAACCATGCGAAAGCCGACGGAAGTTGAAGGGGTGGACGCGCTCGAGACAAAGAGAAAAATCGATGCCAAAAAAAGTCCATAAAAAAAGTAAAAAAAAAAAAATAATAATAAGAAAAGAAACAACCGCGTGTCGAGACACGATGTATACACACGCACGTGCAAAAGAGAAAAGAGCGCGACTCGGCCAGCGAGCACCGACCAACCATCGCGCTGGTGGCACGAGAATAACGAAAACAATCCGATAACAATAATAATAATTATAACAATGCACGGAAACCGTGAGAAAGAAGTGTCTGACGCGAGTCTCTTGTTGTCCCATATAGAGTTCCTCTGTGCGCGGCAAAGATAAAGAGTAATGATCGATCGATACGATACGAATTATTGAGAGAGCGTGCAAGAGAGAGCAAGTAAAGACAGGATTGTCATGATGATCGAGAAAGAGAGAATTGTGATATAAACGGGCAAACGCTGAGCGAGGGACATTGACGAGGCCAAGTCGAAAAACGATCCCCGAACTGTCCGAAAAGGTAAGGAAACAATCACGCGCACGAGGAAATCGTTCTGAAGACGACCGACGCAATGTATAGAATGTATCGCCTCGCACTGCCCGCTCTCTCACACGATGTTACACGGGAATCGCACGACCGATTTCACACCGTACGCTTTTCTTCTTAACCCCCTATTTGCCGATCGTTTTCCCCCGCGAGCAATACTGCGTTCCGGTTCGCCAGGGAACTCGACGATTTTTAAAAACCATCGTTAAATAGCTTTATTTTCAAACGATTTCTAAAAGACATGGGTACCATGACTACAAACATGGCGGCCGCACGATCAGCTGACCGTGATACAAATGGCGGACACCGAGCGTCACATCGCGACTTTAATCGCTTATATCTCGGTAACGAAATTTTGAATCGCAAAATGATAGAGGACTTCTCGAGTTCATTTCGCGTGAAGGATTAACCCTGGTACAAAATTCCACGCTTTCGTTAACACCCGGTTCAACAAAACTTTATTTTCGTTATTTAAAAGAACGTAACAGTCTTTAAAAGTATACATTTGATATAATAATCGAATCCATTTACGTCGAGTTTCCCTCGCGTCGGTTCGATCTACCCCCGTCGCGTTTTCAAGCCCCGTATTTTCAATCGAACGTTCGCCAAGCGTTTCGCGCGACGATTCACCGGTGCTAGCGTTTAAGTTCGAGCGTAAAAATAAGCGAGACACTCGCGCGAGCACTTTCACCACCGGTGACACGAGACATTTAGCTCGAAACGAACAAATTCTTGCACCGAGAAACGGTTACGTTAACAATTAAATAATTTGCATTAATTTGCGTCACCGCGCGGTTGAAAAATCACGAGCCAGGATGAAATTTTCGCGTAACGCGACGCGAAATTAACAAGTTTTAATGCCCAATTACGGCGTTGCACCAGCTCGGCCGGCCTCGTATTTCTGTCGCTGCCTAATGAGCCACGGATAATTGAAATATACCGCGGTCCGCGGCGTTCTGCAAACTGGGAAAAATAGCGGGGCCGTTTGAACGGCGTAATTCGCCGAAAGTGAGACGAATGAACGTCCAGGATTTTTCTGCCACCTGTGTTCCTCCGTAACATTCGCGACGAACATGCTTGGAGGCTGTTTCTCCCATAAATTTCTAGCTTGGAATTTTGTACATAATACGAAAGCTAGAGGTCGTGGAAACTCAAAAATGGGCTCTGGGGAACCCGTGATCGAAGAAAAGTCGTTTTATTTACAGTTTTGAGACAAGCATCGAATTAACGAGACCGCGAATGAAAATTTGAGCACCGTGCCCGGTAAAAAGATGGCGGGAGCTTCGACGTCGGTCCTAACGAGGGGTTAAAGACCGTGACTGACAGGGGGTGAGCCAGACGTCTCACGTTTTAGAGGAGACAGGCCGACGACGATCCCTTTCGCGCACAGCTTTTTAATTGCCGGAAGGATTAAGGCGGATTTCAAATTAGAGGCATTTTTTCTCCCCCTGGGCTTTAATCCGCGACCTGGCGCTTCGGAAAATCGCGACTCGCTAAAATTATCCGAATATTCGTGATTCGATCATTCTGATACGAGGATTTTTGGGGTTGTTACACGCTGAGACAAAGCAATGGATGGTATTTAAATCGTCGATTCGGAATGTTCCCGAGAACAGAGACCTCGAGTGTGGTTTTTTGAGTCGTCCTCGCGAAGAGGAATCCGACGAGGGAGGGTTAATCGGCAAAAGGGAGTCTCAGCCCCCGATTCCGTGGATTAATTAACCTCTAATTTCCAACGCGAGTACGAGGTGGATCCTGGAATTCCCCGAGAGACCGTCTTCCGTTTCGCGAGGACTGGATCGAAGAAATTACACTTATCCCCGTGACGGATAAAGGGAGATCGATGGCTTCTGAAAAGGACCTCCGCGCTTCTCGTCGCCCTCGCGAGCGATATATCGCGGTCGTCCTCGCGAGCTTTTGAGTCTTGTAACGAGCGTGCACAATGCTCGCCGGGGAATACAAAGGACGTTCGTTAAGATAATGGGCCGGCGAATGGGGTATCTGGCGGTGTCGCGGGGGCGAGCGTTTCAACCCCCCTCTGTTAAAAGGTCCACGGGAAGTTTAAACTGGTTTAAGCACCGGTAGTAGTTAGCGAGAGCCAGCGCGGCCCGATACTCCTCGATTATCGAAGGTCTTTCGGCCTCGTTAGCGCCTGAATTTTGCACGATGGCTGAAAGCGTTGTCGACCCGGCCAACGACCAACCCCCCGCGCGATTCCTTTGTTTGCAAAATCCTCGAAACTTAATTTTTTATCGAAAATATTCGAAACCGATGTTTCACGATCGTCCTCGTTTGGGAAAAGAAAGAATCCAGCATCTTCTGATGTTGGAAACGTCTATACGGATCCTGGAATTCCTGGAACGGCATGCAGATTAACGACGCCGGGGCAGAATATTATTCGAAATATATTCGAGCCTCGATATCGAGACGAAGACACCGTCGAGAGGCTCGGAGCGAAACCGTCGGAGAAGTGGATCGTTGTTTAAACGAGCCGAATGAATAAACGATGAGCCCACCTATATGGAGGATCTAAAAACGTCGCGTAGGACTCGACGTCGTGACAAATGACAGCGACTTGGAGGGCCTGGAATTACGTCGATCGTCTCGAGAATGCAGATTAACGAGCAAGTATTCGACGAGACACGCGGAGAGCAAGAAAGTTCTCGCGAGTATTCCGGGTCACCGCGAATGAGAGTGATATCGATGAGAAGAGACTAAAAAAATAGAAGAAAATGAATAGTCACGAAGCGGTGTAACGTCGTCGAGGGTGTAAACAGCCTCGAGAACGATTTAAAGGATTGAAAACATAAAACATCGATCACTGGTTACCAGCAGGTGACATAAATAACAAAAGTTGAACGTGGAAGTTCCTTAGCCAAGCATTGCACACGATTCAAATGATCTCTGACCTATTCGTCCGTTGGCAGAAAATTGTCAATTAGCTCTTCCTGATGCGGTCGCGATAAGCATCAGTAATAAGATAAGTGCTCGTGATTGTCGTGAACTCCGACCTTCAATGCCAGAATATCACCGAGAACTTTTCCGTCGATGCTTCTCTCGGAGCAACAACAGCCAACCCTATCGAATTAGGATTCTAGCCCAGATCTGTCATCTTTCGAACGAAGTGGTTGCAACGTTTGACCTATCCAGGTCACCGACGGATTCCCATCGTACTGTATCTATCATCCGTGTAGTTGCACAGCCAACATATTACCCTG